TGAGTGAGTGCGAGTGCGAGTGCGAGTGTGAGTGTGTGTGTGTGAGTGAGTGAGTGAGTGTGCGTGTGAGTGTGACAGCGAGTGTGAGTGAGTGAGTGTGAGTGTGCGATTGAGTGAGTGTGTGAGTGTGAGTGTGAGTGTGTGTGAGTGAGTGAGTGAGTGAGTGTGCGTGAGTGTGCGTGCGTGTGTGTGAGTGTCTCTGTGTATGTGTATATATGACATATGTGTGTGACATGAGGACACAAATTTTTATAATGACATAGGTATTACAAGGAGAAGGTGACTTATGAGGACATTACCCCATGTCCTCATTTTTCCCCATACACACACCCCACACACACACACCCCACACACACCACCTCAGTAGACACACTCATTTAATAAAGCCAACAAACTGCTGGGAATCTACAACTAGAAACCACTCTTGTACACTTCGTGCAAGCATTAAAGGAAATTAAATATAAACCGGTCAGAAGCAGCAGAAACCATCCATCTGCTGTGTGAAGGTGCTGTATGAGTAAAAATCATTTCAACTTATTTTTTTATTAAACTGACTTAAAAGAATCAAGTTAAATCTCATATAACTTATTAAAAAAAAATAAAAATTGCTCAAGATATTTTGATGAGTTAAAGTAATGTAAAAACATAAGTTGCCAAGACTTACTGAGCAAACTTTTTTTTTCAGTGCAGTAGTGCGGTATATATGAAAAAAGAACATGGTGTATTTCAAAAACATCACCTTAGTAAATGTGCCCAAAAAATGGTGTAATAGTAGTAATAAAACTAGTAGTAGGTGAAAAACCAATAGGTGTTCAAAAACCATGGTATTAACACAGTAAATTTAAATAAATAAATAAAGAAATAAATAAATAAATAAAAATTATACAAAATATGTTATTAAATATATAAAGATATGTGCTTATTGAACCAATTGGATAAGACTAAATGGAGAGTCAGCAAGAGCCTCAGAGAGAGTGTGTGTGTGTGTGTGTGTGTGTGTGACAGATTGTAAATGGCCATGTGTATGTGCTGGCGGTACAGAATAGACCCGGACCACCGGCGAGACCCGAGTGCTGTCAGAGTCTGAAGTCTGAAGCCTTAAAGGCATTCCACTCCCCGCTGCCATTTTCATGTTTACAGCCTTTGTTTGGCTTGAAAAGGTGCTGTGGGAGAGAATCACAGCTTGAAAGAGGCTCCGAGGAGAAAAAGAAAGAGTAAAGGAGGGGTAAAACTATGGGCTGTTTGTTCTGCCAATAGAAGCATCTGGGCCCGACGTGACCTAAAAAAAAAACAATAATAATAATAATAAAAAATAAAAACAATTTAGGCAATGACTGTGGGTCAGTTATAATAAATTATAAAAAAATAATGAAAATTAAAAAAAATAAGTAAATAAATAAATACATATAAAATATAAGGAATAAAATTAGACTTGTGAAGGTGTGGAAACGGCCTGAGGTGTGTGTGTGTGTGAGAGAGAGAGACAGAGAGACGGGCTGAGGTGACTGTGAGCTTGTCAAAATTTGCTCTTAATTGAGAATGCAGTGAGATATTTGAAGGTCGAGTGAGAAAAAACAGCCCAGCTGCTGCCAACACGTGTTTTAGATTTGTGACTTTCTCACACACACACA